CGTTTGTGATCTGCCTGGCCTGGAGGCCTCACCATCAGATCTTTGAGTTTCATTTTTGGCTTCCATGATGAGTTTCCTGGGATAGTAATGTGGTAGTTTCCCGTTGCTTTCCACATCCACATGGCTTTAGACTACGTCCTCAGCCTTCAGCAACCTTTTCGATTACTAGGGCAAGTGAGTGCCCTGCTCTGTGATGCTCCTGCTAACAGCAGAGGGCACCCAGAGGTGTCCCCTTATCCCGGTGGATACTTGGTCCCCATGGCTGCGTTGGCCACACCGAAGTATGTTTACCGTCCTCTACCGCGTGGAGGTGCAGTTGGGGTTTTCCCTTCACTGAGTCTTGAGACCAGAATGGCATTTCCCAAAACTCTCCAGTACTTTCAGAGGACCCACAAAACACACTTGAGATAAATACAGAATTTGTGAGCTTTAGTGACACCACTATGAAGATAGCACAAAAAATATGTGGAACTAAAAGGAAAGGTAGCATAGGGCGTAAGCTCTCAACATGGTGATCTGAAGAAATAAGAACAATTGTGAGCAATAAAAAGAAAGCCTATGGCATTTGGCTGAGGAGCAGAACAGAAGAGGATTACATAACATACAGGATAATTAGAAGAGCAGTAAATAAAACTATCACAAGCAAAAAGAGAATCATGGGAAAAGATTGGAAGCAAGCTGGATTAAGAAGAAAGAACAGCAGTGAAAAACTACCTCCCCCCCCCCCCCCCCCCCCCAAAAAAAAATAATTAAAAAATCAAAGGCATGAGAAACAGGAATAAAGAATAAAGCTCAACAGAAATTATAAATGATGAAGTTGGCCAACCTTTAATAAAACCTAACAAAAATTTAGCAAGGTGGAGTAATTACTTTAAATCATTACTTAGCTGCAATAAAACAGATAAAAGCAGGGAAGAACATAAAAAACAACTCGGAACTAACGGCAGAGGAACTAGAACCAGGTAAATTATTAGATAAAGTAGAATATGCCATTCGTACCGCCCATAGACTAAAGGCGACAGGTGTTGATGATCTACCTGCTGAGGCCATCAAGGCAGCAGGAGAAACCGGAGCAATGTGGTTAAAGGAATATTTCAGGTGGCATGGGAAAATCAAGAAACACCATCAGATTGGCAAACTACTGTCATCGTCCCGCTGTGAAAAAATAAAGCAAGTAAGAGGGACTGTACTAATTACAGAGGAATATCACTTCTCAGTCACACTGGGAAAATGTATGCTAATATCATCGAAAGAAGGCTAAGACCAGTGATAGAGTATCAACTTTCAGAAGCACAGATTGGCTTTCTACGAAACAGAAGTTACACAGAGGTCATTTATACATTGAGACAGCTATCAGAGAGGTCAATAGAACATGATAAGACATGTTTGTTGTCATTCATAGACCAGGAAAAAGCTTTCGATAGAGTCGTCAGGAATATGTTGTGGGAATGTATGAGGACAAAGGAAATCAACAATCAACTCATTAATATTTGCAAAAGCCTGCACACAGGCCCGTCTCCGTGTTTCCTGCACCGAAAAGTTTAAACATTTGTTGACCTTGTCTGTTGTACCCGGTATTTAGACTGAATATAATACCCTGTGCATTTCTACATTTCTAGAGAGGCGATGAAGCGAATCGCGAGGAGATAATTTGGTCTTTGATACTAGATAGTATTAATGTCTTTGTCTTTTGGTGGGTACAGTCACTATTTTCTTGTACCATGTCACAGACACTTCTAGCCAATCTGTCCGCTATTTCAGTGCCTTCCAAGCCACAGTGACCTGGAATCCACTGCATTACCGATTGTTCTACTGAAGAACCTGGGTGAATCAGCTCTTGCATCAGGTCCATAAACTGACTAATTAGTTGTACTACAGCACACCCAGTACAGTACTAGACAACCATTGCGTCACCGCTGCTATCAATACTTTATGTAGTTAGCATTTAAATAGAATAGGCTTCATTGGTTTAATCTACCTGTGTCATCCGTTTAAATACTCTTTGTGTGTGTGTAATTCGTTTGCAGCATCCTTTAAAAAAAAATCCGCGTTGTTAATATCTTACTTTACCTTTCGAAATACGTCTTACTTTGTATTTTTATTGGTAACATGTTTTAATTTGTCAAAATTAAATTCTAGTGTTTTTGTTTTGAACATAATAAGAGAATCAACGTTAGTCAATTGTTCTCATTTGAACACGCAATTAGAAAGAAACATAAAGCTGTCTCCACAATTGTTGTCGACTGCAGTGGGTACGGGCATCCACTGCTGTGTTTGGGAATATTACCTGGTGAAACCCCTGTCTCTGCCGCAGTAAGACTCTCGTACCACTGTTCTAAAGCCATCCCACCAGGACAACAAAGAAAGCGATATTTGAAAGCCACGATAAAAGTCGTATTCAAAACCACCCACCATTGATGTTGATCTGTGGTACGTAGAGAGTTGGGAAACTGCATAGGTAATTGAATAAAGCATTATACTTTTGGCATATATCCTGAGAATCCCAGAAAAGTTACCCCAGATTTGGCAACAACGCGTGCCCAGCGATAAAACCTTGGCTAGGTTAGTAATTAATTGTCATAGGAAAACGCGCCACCTGGTGAACCTCGCACAATGCTTCAGGAATTACAGAAACAGTCAAAAGAATGTGTATTTTTTCATCTATCTTAACTTTGACTACATGACTAGGTGGATGTTTTCTCAAGAAAGGGTTCGAGTAGCAGGAAATGGAAGCTTCCGGGATGCAGCAAGAAAGCATCCATATTTTGATGTGTTACACGACAAAGTGCCATCTTTTGTACCTTGTGTAATGCTTCAGCAGTTGCATAAATCAATCAGAAGAGTGTCTGTTTTTTTTTTTTTTATATCTATCTTAACTTCAACCACACGGTTAGATCGATGTTTTCTCTAGAAAGGGGTTGATAGGAAATTGAAGATGCCAGGGTGCAACAAGGACGCATACACCTTTTGATGTAATTATCATACGAAAACGCCCCACCTGGTTTACCTTGCGTAATGCTTCAGGAATTACAAAAAGCAGTTAGGGGAGTGTCTAGTAAATACATTTATACCACACAGTGAGGTCGATATTTGCTCTATTAAGGGATTAATGGGCTGGAAACTGAAGCTGCCAATGTGCATCAAGAATGTAAACATCTTTTGATTTATTATGCATGTGTTTGTATTAGGGAAATGAAGTAGACCAGTGGTTGGCTCTCTTTCTTGGCAGCCTGGCTGTTGTCTGTTTAAACCCAGGCTGAGTTGGTATTATTTGAAAATTACCCAGGGCTTCTAGGTCACAACCGGCTCCAGCTGACGGGCCGTGCTGCTGACGTCACCTGGCTGGGCAAACGATGCGTTAACGCAGCGGTTCTCAAACAAGAAGTAAACTATTATCGACAGTGACGAGGAAAGACAATTTTAAATTTTAAGTATCTACATGTCTTCTTTAATAATTTCACAATTTTTAACTGACTTTTCTTGATTATTGTCGTCGCCCCCCTGACATACGCTCAGGGCACCTCGGGGTGCCTCGGCACCCAGTTTAAGAATCGCTGCGTTAACACATAGTTAGCCCGACCTGGTGACGTCAGCAGCACCATCCGCCACCTGGAGCCAGCCGTGTTTAGGTCATCCATTTTATTCTGCACTGACGTATTACTTGCCAGTTTGTCCGCTAGTTTATACCTTTTACCTGGCATGTCCGGGCAAAAAAAAAAAGTCTTAAACAAAGACAAGCTTTTACAATGCATTAGGCAGAGTAGATAGAGGATCCGTACACCTCCCAACACTTCGCTAAGGTAGAAAAGAGAAGAAAAATGAGATATCTGGGTGTGAAGATCCAGGTGAGGATGGTAAAGTGCGACTTCCCAGTTATGTGTAGCCGTTGAGATCCGAAACTACTGTTGTGTGTCGAATCTGTGTGAATTGAGACAGGCATACTGGACAGTAAATTCATGGTGTCAACAATGCCTGAGTCAACGTTCAGGCCGAGAATAGGTGGGGTGAAACCTGGCGCAAGCAGGTCTGCTTCAACGGAGTTGAGCCACGAGAATAACTGGCGTGCTTCTCATGTGTCTGAGAATGCACGGGGAACTCACTCAGGGAATATACTTGGGAAAGTCTCAGGGTTGAGAAGGAGTTGAGAGGAGATTGCCTGTCTGAAAAGACGTATGGAGTCTTTCTCTAGTTTTCAACGGGTTTCAAGTATACATCAAATGTACCATACAATAACTAACCGAAGCATGTTCATGGAATCTAATGGAATCATTTGGCTGTTTGTTTTGCTGCCTATGTGAATGTTCTGGAGACTGTGATTATCTTTAGGGTCACATTTGATAAAGTTACATAGGGCCCCACCGTCCCTTATGCATCTGACATTCATACAATGTAAGCGAAGATTCCCTTCTCGCTCACTGAGAATATTGAACTTATGGCTGGACCCCATATACGTGTAAATTAATGAAGGGATAGTTCTTCTTCGCTTTCCCATGCCTTTGACACCGGCGGAAAGTCCATTTGTATACATTAGTCTTGTTCCAAAACTTGATTTTGAGTGCACATCAGTTTTACATATCTAGTTCATTTGTATGCAGACTATTGGTTTTTGTCTCTAAGGCAGATGCACTCAGTCTTCGAAGTAAGCATCTTTAATTATTTGACTTTTACAGAATGCTCGTTAGGGAGCAGTTAGTCAATTCTTGTTTTTATCTCTCCACCCCCCCCCCCCGCCCCTACTTGGGGCCCATAACCCACACACAGTAAATTGCTTGGTAATAAATTAAATAGAAAATGTTATTGACATTTTCATTACAGTATATTTTTGACTATTCTTTCACTACAGCATTACCTTTAATTGATTTCTCATCAACACTGTGCGTGTCTCTTCACTGATGGCAACATACCCAGCTGCAAGATGAGACAGCCAGTGTAGACGCTCCGCCTAACAACCCTGGGTAATGAATGGTTGTGGACGCTCCACCTAGCAACAATCCTGGGTGATGAATGGTTCCACTTCTAGGCTTCTGAGATCCTCCCCTGCCAGCGACCACAAGGACAATGTGTGTCGGATCGTTCTACTCGGCCAACCGGGGGTTGGGAAAACAGGTCCGGTTGTTTGTTCGTGTGAAGGATATGCTAGCTGCGGGTTAACACAAACGTAAATAGGCATTGTTTGAAAGATAGATAGTATGGATGACATAGTAGAAGCTATAGGGTAAACAAGGTAGAATATTATTACATGAAGTGGTTGATAGTACATAAACAATTTGGAGATAACTAAGATAAGATGATAAGGATGATAATAAATAGCACGAGAAGAAGAATATCAATGAGGACAAGAAGCAGAAAAGCAAAATAATAATAACAACAAAAGGATCTTCAGTTTAAGATCTACACAGTAATAAAAGGACATAAAAACATACAATTAGTGAAATATATTGATATAATATATAAATCCAAACACAACGTTTTTTTTTTAAATCATGAAACCATTCACCCTTGTAGACAGAGAATAAACAGTGAAGGCAACAATACGTTACTTCTCTTCTTCCTCTGCACGTTCACCAACTGTAAACTCCAGCGGAAAGTTTGTTTCTCCACCTCTGGACTATTCTTGTTCCAAAACCAGATTGTTGCATGCACATCTGTTTTATCGATTAGACTTATTTATTTATATATTGTCGGTTCCTCACCTCTCAGGCAGATACACTCCGCTTCGAAGGAAGCTCTCACTAAGTCGACTCTTACGACATACTTGTTGAGGAGGCAGGGAGTTTATTCTTCTTTCGCCGCAATGGGGCCCTTGAACCCACATGGGGTTCCTTGTTCGTTAAATAATTAACTCACACACACACACACACACACAAACACACACACACACACGCGCGCGCGCGCGCAAAGAGACAAACACAAACACAGACACTTTAGACATTGCATAGTTTATTGACTAGACATAAAGTTCGAAGGAAATTGACTACATCTTTTCATAGACAGAAAAACGGACTGAGAGTGTTCTCACTGCAATCGTGTTAGATCATCCGTTAAAAGTGTTCCCAGGCGCGTTACAGGCACATCTTCCTTCTGCCTGCTTCAATCTCCCGTTCACTCATGCGATTAGTTGTTCTCTTTTGCTTGGGAATTCTTCAACATCAGAATCAGGTAATCTCATTAGCTAGTTTCCGGTTATTTTGTCTTCTTTACACGTAATTCTCGTTCAAGCCAGCCTCATTCTCTCTTCTTAGTATGTATGTATAAGTATGCTTGTGAGTAAATATGAGTGAGTGTGTATTTATGAGTGCGTGTGTATTTGTGTAGATGTATGCATTGTTGTCTATAGTTGTGTGTATATATGTATGAGTGTACATGGATGTATGAGTGTGCATACAAGAGTATGAGTATGTTTGCAAGCATGCATACACACACATACATATATGTATATATATATATATATATATATATATATATTTGTTTGTGTGTGCATGTATGTGTGTGTGTGTGTGTGTGTATATATATATATATATATTTAACTTCAGTACTTGTCTGGAAGCTCAGATCACAGCATAGAACCCTTATATATATATATATATATATATATATATATATATATATATATATATATATATATATATATACACACACATATATATAAGGGGTTCTATACTAAAAGGTTTGGCTATCCTCCGAATAACGTGCACAAAAGATGGCGGCCAATAGCGGCCAAAAACAGGGCCTAAGTCACGTGTCAATTGCGCACTTTCGGCGACTTAATTTGCGGCATTCCGGCGACTACCGCCACCACCTAGAGTCCCCCATGCCGCTCACCTGGCGTGGATTGGGGCTAAACTAGATGGCTGGGACTCACGAGCAAACTAAGCTGTATGGATCCGCGGAAGGCATGCGCTGCACCCCAGACTTCATGAAAGCCTCAGGTCTCTTCATCTGAAAACCCATGACAGAGAGAACACTTAGGTGTAGCTACAATGTTGATATTGCTGCTTTCCCAATAAAATGCTCAACCCCTCTGATGTTCACTTTGTCAACATATATGAAGCAATGAACAGGCGAACAGACTGGCTGGCTCTGCACAACTTGGTGGAATACTGATACATGATAGGGCAGACGTGGTTAATGCCTTGTGGGACAGCGTGTACAGTTTGGAGGAGCAGATGGATCACCACAGTCTGGTGAGATTGATGCAGTGGGATGTAACTAGGGGTTTTGGCAGATGCTCGAGGCTTAGAGGAAAGGCAAGACGGACATTTAATGAGAATGGTACTGGCACTATTAGTATCGGAACTCTGCACTGGCTGCTGAAGATGGGGACGAAGTGCTTATGGGAATGCCCCAAGTGTTGTGATGTCAGGTCTTTAATCAAATCAAATCATAATTAAATCATTATGAAACAATTTATTGTTCACACAAACTGTCTGCAAGTATTGTTTTTCATTTAGTCTTAGAAGTTTAGATTTATCTGCTTTCCATCAGACATCTCATGTCATAAGTCTGCCAGCGTTTATTTGATTAAAAACTAACTTAAATAATTGATTCCTTCAGTTGAAAAGCGCTAATTCGTTTCAGCTGTTTTATCATGTTTAGCACTTTATGCAACCCTTTCAATCGATGGTTTCAAAGGAGAGATGTAGCCATAACACAGGAACAGCATGTCTGAACAGAGTGTGGGGAAGCATACATTCTTAAGATGTACAAACACAAGAGGCAGTCGCAGCGGTGTAGAGGTTAGACGCTCGCCTGTGTATACAAAGGTTGTGGGTTCGGGCCCTGTCGGAGCCAGACTATTTTGAGAAGTAGCCGGGGTTACCAGGTCGACCCATCCTTGAGTGGGTACCAGATGAAGTCTTTGATGTTGATCACATCACCGTCCCAGTTGCTTTGGCCTAAAAAATAAAGGTCTAGCCCTACATGCCCAATACGTCTGAAGGTGTGGGGGGGGGGGACTTCTTTAATTACTTTACTTAACAAACAGATGACACAGCTAATCCTAGCAATGTTAACAGTAAACTATAATTGAAAAGAGTCAAAGAAACACAACAAATACCCACTCACGGAAATGCACGTGTATGCTAACCAGGACCGGTGTTAGCGTTTCGTTTTCGCCCAGTGCTAAAGAGAACACTTGTTATGCTAGTCTTGTTTCAGCCGATATTGACAAACGAAGAAACGAAGAAGATTTTATTGCATGAGCCGCAATGTTACTTTTGCCATCAGCTGCAAAAGATGTGGCGTGAAATACATCGGTAGAAACAGTAAATGATTGGTTCAGACAACGTCTTTTTGATGTGCAGAGTTGCTCTAAAACCACTACCGTTGAACTATATTCCGTAAGTCGTTTAAAAATCGCTTGATTGTTATCTTTGGTACACTAACACCTAGTGGACTGAATCCTTGAGTTACGACCCTTAGCATTTCTGGGCTATTTATTCTTGGGCTGCGGGTGTCTTTTCATTCCACTGGCAAGACGTCAACGTAACTGCTTCGGGAAGGCGTCAGTCAGTTATTTTGTGAATGCGTGAGATTTTGTTTGATTTATATATGTGCAGATGAAGGCCCTGTAGCCACAACGTTCACTTCCGTTTGTGTGTGTGTTGTACTGTGAAGCTCGCTGATCTTCTTTTCGTTCGGATTTATACCTTTCCATGACATTTACGTGATTAAGATTTGTGCCCTTGATATGTATATGACATTGTAAAATGTAATATTAAATAATGTGTTTTCTTTAACATCCACAAACAGCGCTGACCGTGAGGTTCCTGACCAAACGTTTTATCGGCGAGTACTGCCCCACACTGGGTATGATTTTTTTAATGTCATGATATTGTTGTCTTATATTACCCTATATATTATTATTTTTTTGTGGATTAAACCCACCCACACAGAACAACGGGTTACTTCGGGAGTCGTCGTGGAGTAACGGCTAGATGCCGATCGGAAAGTCGTGGGTTTGGTTCCTGGTGGAACAGGGCTTTCTTCAAAAATCACCTTGGTTCCCAGGTCGACACGGCCTTTAATAATTTTTTTTTTTAAAGGAGAAAGAGGAAATTGTGATGCAGAACGGATAAAATAAATGAAGGAGTCAAACAGTGGCACAAGGTCACACCATTCTTCGCCTAATCTTAGCAATCCTCTACTTTGTTTAGTTTACCTCCTCTCACAATGTGGAAGTGGAGAGCTTGGCTTTGAGAGTATTGAAGCAATTAGTGATTAGTGATTAGAAAGTATTATCATCACAACACTCCGGACAGATCCATAGGTGCTCCAAACTCCTCCTCAAAAGCTCCACAAGTGTAAATTGACTGATGACGCCTGTTCTGTGTTGGTTAATGAAACGTCAAGTCCTCTTAGTGAAATGTTTATTTCTTGCAGCTCCAGGCTGCATCCTTATGTCCATCAGTCTAGACAGGGATACGGAGTCGTGTCCTTTGGCGTGCTCCTTGGTACAGTAAATGCGTCGTATGGCATTGAAAACATCACTTCTGTCCAGTACTGGACCAGCCATAGCAACTGCAGTGTCAGCAAGATAGTCTGCACGCTCATTCCCTTGAACACCTCCATGATCTGTCAGAAAGATGAAGGTTAGGGCAGATATTCGTGAAGGGCTTAGTGTTGCAATCCATTCTTGCCTGATAAATCCAGCTTGGATTTATATTCATCGAGTCATTAAGAATGCATACGTGTGTGAACTTTTTAAGCAATGAAAATGAACAACGATAAGACGCTTGGGGCTCAGAACATACTGCTGAGAAGTGATAAAAGTACCCGTATTACAGATGTAAAACAAAAAATAACAATGATGTTGGAAGCGCGAAAACTACAGAAGATTTCTGATTACCAAAAGGGTAAATTTGATGTTAAATGTCAGCAATAAAACAAGTGTCGGGAAGGATCTTTTCACGATCTTTTCAATTTATGCGGTGAAATTGTAGTTAAGATCCTTCCAAGATACAACACGAATAACAGTAGATGTGCATGGCTTTAACAACATGAACTATACTGATTATATGATTTGATCACACACACACACAAAAGCAAATATATAAAAATATAGAAGTAAAAGATAGGTCAAGAGAACGTATTAGTTTAAACAAGGGCAAAACAGAAGCTATGGTAATAACCAAGAACAAATGTCTCTCACTTCTAAGTGAAAGAAACTAGTCTGAAGCTTAATTTGTGTTTTAAGGTACCCTTAAAACCGGAGCCGGAAGATGTATTTAAGAAGTTGAATGCAGATCAGTCCAAGCAAAAAGCAGTATTTCAAAAGTCGAGGACAACTCGAAGGAATATGTACAACTCTGAAATTGTGAATAAAATAGGAAGGACAGAAGAATTGATCAAAAAATAAATAAAAGCAACAACAACAACAACAACAACAACAACAAAAAACGTGTCTGTCCACATTAAAAGGCACAATAAACATATATTTACTTGAAGGAGTAGTTTAAGGCAAACAAGAGATAAACATTGAGGCAAGTGGAGTAATTACATCAAGAGATGCACCGGCAGCAGATTTTTATATTTTTATTTTTTTAAATTCTTTTTTAACGTATCCAGAAACCATGAGTTGTAAACCCTTTGGCTCGGTACTATGGATATCGCAACCCTTCGGCATTGATTCCATTATAGGTACCGTTAATCTGGGAGAAATGTGGCTTTTCTGTCTACCCCCGGGAGTGAACCCGGACCACAAGGAGTTCGTCACCCGGCCGCCGCGAAAGTCAGGTTTAACCAACTTCGCTAGAGAGCCGGGTTGGCAGCAGATTAAAAGAGGGTATAGCCACTTCCCAGGACTATATTGGTACCTCCACTTCCCAGGATTATACTGGTACCTCCATTTCCCAGGATTATACTGGTACCTCCTCTTCCCAGGACTATATTGGTACCTCCACTTCCCAGGACTATACTGGTACCTCCACTTCCCAGGACTATACTGGTACCTCCACTTCCCAGGATTATACTGGTACCTCCACTTCCCAGGACTATACTGGTACCTCCACTTCCCAGGATTATACTGGTACCTCCACTTCCCAGGACTATATTGGTACCTCCACTTCCCAGGACTATACTGGTACCTCCACTTCCCAGGACTATACTGGTACCTCCACTTCCCAGGACTATATTGGTACCTCCACTTCCCAGGATTATACTGGTACCTCCATTTCCCAGGATTATACTGGTACCTCCACTTCCCAGGACTATATTAGTACCTCCACTTCCCAGGACTATACTGGTACCTCCACTTCCCAGGACTATACTGGTACCTCCACTTCCCAGGACTATACTGGTACCTCCACTTCCCAGGATTATACTGGTACCTCCACTTCCCAGGACTATATTGGTACCTCCACTTCCCAGGATTATACTGGTACCTCCATTTCCCAGGATTATACTGGTACCTCCACTTCCCAGGACTATATTGGTACCTCCACTTCCCAAGACTATACTGGTACCTCCACTTCCCAGGACTATACTGGTACCTCCACTTCCCAGGACTATACTGGTACCTCCACTTCCCAGGATTATACTGGTACCTCCACTTCCCAGGACTATATTGGTACCTCCACTTCCCAGGATTATACTGGTACCTCCATTTCCCAGGATTATACTGGTACCTCCACTTCCCAGGACTATATTGGTACCTCCACTTCCCAGGACTATACTGGTACCTCCACTTCCCAGGACTATACTGGTACCTCCACTTCCCAGGACTATACTGGTACCTCCACTTCCCAGGACTATATTGGTACCTCCACTTCCCAGGACTATACTGGTACCTCCACTTCCCAGGACTATACTGGTACCTCCACTTCCCAGGACTATATTGGTACCTCTACTTCCCAGGACTATATTGGTACCTCTACTTCCCAGGACTATACTGGTACTTCCGCAAGGTTGGATCTAATTCGGAGCCGAGGTCATTTAAAAAAAAGGACATGCTAATTGATGATTATAATAAATAATGATGATGAATATGACGATAACAACAAAAATGGCTGCCATGATGCTTAAAAAAGAGGACTGTGAAGGTGATTTCAAAGACGATAATGTATTGGTAATACAGAATATGTCGGTAATAATTATATAATAATATGAGTGATGTGTGTTGAAAAATATACTGTAAAACCTGCAAATAAAACAACGGCAGCTTTTAAAGTGGTCATAAATTTTGGAGGAAGTATTTACAAGTTTTGATGATCATAATATTAATTATTATGACGGCATGGTACCACGCCTGTCCATACCTAGAAAAAATAAACGTATCTCCAACAACCATGTTTTCCTTGATGGTGGCAGGTATTCGAATGTGGTTGTTCAAAAATTTATGATGCCAATTCCTGATACTCAAGTTCCTCATCCTAATAATTGTTAGCAATTTAACCGTTAGAATTCTATCTATCTTCTTTTACCCCACCAGGAAATCACACAAGCGATAACACCCGATGACACAAAGTGCCACCATGTGGATGAGGATCACCATAGGTCCCAGAAACCTTGTTCAGCGATGAGACAATATTTATGGCCGGGCTATATTGCGGCCCCTGGCAAGAGCCAGAGTAGGGCTTCAAAAAACGAAAAATTGCATCTCACAAAGAGATGATAAGATAATATTAGTTTCAATTGACTGTGAATAGAGCTGTAGTGTGGAAAAACAGTACCCAGAATAAGAGACACTATAGCAGTAGATGGTGCATTACCGCACAGACGGTTATTAAAAACAAGGAACGGCAATATTTTTTTGTAAAATAATCATTAAAAATATATATTGTATATTCATAATGGTTTTCATAAAGTTTTTTTTTTTTTTTTTGCGTTGCTGTATTAATATCCTACCCCAGACAGGGAAAATCCACAGGTTACGGGACAGTCTAATATTTTAGGGGGTGGTAAATAGGCTGCATGTAGTCGTGTGACCTAGGCTGAACTCTCTCGTTGGACGTAGGTAACTTGGGGTTGGGGCCAGTTTTAGATGTTTTGGGGTCGTTAAAATAGACAGAAAGCCGGGATCTCCAGTCTTGCCACCCTATAAAATATTGGACTGTCCTGTGACGTCATCGACTACATGGGGCATATTGAAAGAATACCAGATGACAGAGAAGTAAAAACTGTATACCTCATGAAGATGAATGGTCGTAGACCACGAGGCAGACCAAGAAGACGATGGAGAATATCCAGACAGACCTGCAAACACTTGGTGTTACCAACTGAAAAGAGAAGGCTAACCAGAGAGACGAATGGAGGCGGGTGATATCTGCAGCATTGAGCCTCGAGGGATCAAAATGCAGAAGAAGAAGAAGAAGAAGGTGGAAAGTTATGATGCACTGAACTGTAAAGACCACAATGGGCATTCCGTTTTTTTTTTTTTTTTTTTTTTTAATGCTGGCACAGAAGCGGAGCAACTATGTCACGAACCGTTCGTGGTGAAGCTGAAACTTCTACGAACAAACTCACACTACCAGCCATTAAACTGACAAAAGTCAAACGTCCCTCTTTTATAACCAATACTGTTTCATATCCAATACTAACCATTACAACAATTTTTGAGTATCGAAGCTGAGATGTTTTTGTATTTCTACGTTCGTTGGCGGTGGCCCCCCCCCCCCCCCCACCTACAGCATTCCCCACCACTGTGTGCTTTCATAGTCAATGCATCCGTATCTTCGCCTTGGTCGGCTTCTGTCTCTTTTTCCAGGAACTCCACCCTCCATCACCGTTCTGTCCAGACTCCTATGATGCTTGACATGTTCAGAATACCACAGCTCTCGAGAGAGGATGCTGTTTACCAGCGTATTCTCCGAAATGTTAAAGTCACGCAGGATGTCGACGTTTTCTTCTTCCTGGTCCACGGTATTCTAAGAACCGTCCTGTAACATTTCAGTTTAAAAGCTCCGATTTTCTTCTTCAAGACTAAGTGAGAGTCCATGACTAATTGGAACTACCTGTGATGTGGTCAGTATGGTGGGCTGGGACTTTACTTCCTAATACGTTTCTCTTACCCGTTTTAGACCGAGTCAAAATGGAACCCAGTGTTCATTGTTTTATTGATTTGCACCTTTCTGTCGTTCAATATGATAGTGTTAAATTGCCCCATGAAGAGGCATGGGACTCACAGCCTATGGCGATGGCGAGTGTGACTAACAAGACCTGCCTGCGTTAAGAAAAATCTTCTACAAAGATAGCATAGAATTTCAGGACCATTGTTGTCAACATCTGTGTTTAGTTCGTTTCTTCTCAGACGCTCAGCTCTGCTCCTGTCTGCAATGAATTTTTTCGTCATTCTTATTCCCTACACGATGTTCCCTCTCCACACAGCACATTCCATGGCATTTTGTTCCCACAAGATTACCACAATACCTGTATCATACATGTCCCGCTTGCACACGTCTTTAAATCGTAGTAGAGGTTGGCCTCGACATCTTTCACCTGTCTTTAACTCGCCATAAATGATGTCCTTGGGTACTCTGCTATCCTCCATTCTCCAGGTGTAACCCAGCCACCTGAGCCTTTGTAGACAACATTGAGAAGACTGTTGTAATAACTGCTGTTAACTGTTTAATAACACCGTCAATGCCGTTTTACAGAGAGCATATACAGATACATGTACACGTCTGCCGATGAAGAGGACACCAGGCTGGACATACTGGACACAGCAGGACAGGTAACCTGATTTGGTTTACAGCTTGTAACCTCGCAATGTAATTCTGTTTATTTATGAAATCGTTAGTGGCACTTTTTGTGACACTATTTCTGATATCATTTTTGATTCTTTCTTTCTTTCTTTCTTTCTTTCTTTCTTTCTTTCTTTCTTTCTTTCTTTCTTTCTTTCTTTCTTTCTTTCTTTCTTTCTTTCTTTCTTTCTTTCTTTCTTTCTTTCTTTCTTTCTTTCTTTCTTTCTTTCTTTCTTTCTTTCTTTCTTTCTTTCTTTCTTTCTTTCTTTCTTTCTTTCTTTCTTTCTTTCTTTCTTTCTTTCTTTCTTTCTTTCTTTCTTTCTTTTTCTTTCTTTCTTTCTTTCTTTCTTTCTTTCTTTCTTTCTTTCTTTCTTTCTTTCTTTCTTTCTTTCTTTCTTTCTTTTCTTTCTTTCTTTCTTTCTTTCTTTCTTTTCTTTCTTTCTTTTTCTTTCTTTCTTTCTTTCTTTCTTTCTTTCTTTTCTTTCTTTCTTTCTTTCTTTGGTTGTGGTAACGAAGTCAGGCCCAGGATAAGAGTGACTTCTTTTTCCAAATCATGCCGCGTAAGGTCGCAGGACCTCTCTTACGTGGCGGGGTGTTATGATATGGCTTAGTTTGGCGTTCGCTCGTCGTATATAATTTTTGTGGGAGGTTGTGTTGTCATGAGTCTGTTTCAAGGGCCACAGGTGCCTGTGTACAAGTAAGGTACTGAAGGGAGAAGCGCCGCAGGCGCCACTATTATTGAGTATCGAAGCTTAGATGTTTTTGTATTTCTACGTTCGTTGGCGGTGGCCCATCCCCCCTTTCCCGAAAGCAAGACAGAACTTACAAAGAACGTATGAATAGAAACATATCGCTGTTTCCATACTGCCGTAGTGTTGCGTAGGTAGCAGAACGGGAAAATAATCACGCAAGCGAGCGATAGGAAGACGACACTAGAGTGAACGGTTGAACCGTTGACAGTAATGTAAAAAAGACACTCCCGCAACGTAGGAGAGGTACGCGGCATGAATAACAAAGGAAGCCACCCTTTTTCTGAGCCCGACTCCGTTACTACAACCCTTTCTTTCTTTCTTTCTTTTTTCTATCTTTCTTTCTTTATTTCTTTTACTATCATCAGATAGAAAATGTGTGAGAGAGATTAAAAGCAGAATAGGTTAAGCAAAAGCTGCATTTCAGAAAATGTAAAATATCCTATGCAATAAATCGCTTTCATTTAACGTCAGAAAGAAGGGGCTAAAATGTTACAAAGAACCTGTTCTGCTGTGTGACAGCAAATCTTGGAATGTCAGTGAGTAAACAAATTAGGAAAAATTTGCAAGCAACAGAGATGTGGTTTCTGAGAGGAATGTTACGAATAGCTTGGACGACCAGAGTAACTAACAACGATTGCTTGAAAGAGGCTAATGAAAGTAGAACTCAATAGAAAACAATAAGAAAGAGACAAACACTATTCTATGGCCACATAATGAGAATAAAGACATTGGAGAACATTGAGACAACTGAATCATCCTGGTCTAAGGAGATGACCTGGTGATCTGGCCAACACACTTATGGGAAAGGAGAGACGAATATACAAGCAGATTGTTATTTTTTCCATTGGGACTGGAACTCCGTGCTTGCTTCTGAAAATGAGGACGGCGCTTTTGTGAATTTCCTGGGTGCTGTTACATCGATTTTCCATTCCACATTCAATACTTCTCTGTGTCTCTTTACCTCCTTCTGATTGTCTGTCTGTCTCTCATTCTCACCCACTCATACATTATCTCTCTCGCTTACTAACGTACCGGTTTATATGTACATTGACCAGTTGATACTAATATCGAACCACCACATATTCACTCATTGATCCATTAGATTATGCGCATGATCCTTTGTCCACAATGTTATTGATAACAGTTAGCTGACAACATAAAACTGACACTTCCAATGTCCTCCCTCAGCTGTCTACAGAATGGAAGGAGAGCTACGCCCTCTGGGCCGACTGCTTTATTTTCGTCTACTCAATAACCGATTACACCAGCTTCGACGAAGTTCATCGTCTCCGGCGCCTGGTAGAATCGGCCAAAAGATCTTCCTCGCTGTGCTGTGCCGTAGTCGGCAACAAGAACGATCTTGTCTACGACCGCCAGGTAACCGTGTCTCAAGGACAAGAGCTGGCCACTGACTTGGGCTGTCGATTTTACGAGTTGTCTGCCTGTGATTGGAACCAGTACCCTCAGATCTATAGTTTATTTACAGAACTTCCCGCCTCATGGCGGCGGTCAAGGACTCAGAGGGAAGGACGTCAGCGGAAGTCAAGTTCCGGAACTAAGTTCAAACAGGCGATTCAAAAAGTTATATCAGGAAAAACCCCACACCCAAAACGAACCTCAAACAATGTTGTGTATTCATAGTAGGTAATGTAGACTAAAGTGGTAGCTGCCTGCCTGGATATCCTTGTTCGACATTCAGCCAGACTCCAAAAGACAAAAATGTAGATTGTTTTCATGCATAGTTATGCAGGAACGTTAACCGAATCGTCGCTGTGTTTTAATTTGTTCCTTCTTCTTTCGTTCGCATTGGCTTGTGTGCATGGCATCCTGATTGCTGTGGTGCGCCTCCTGGCTGGTTGCCTCCGACTTCAGCACCTCGTTTTGCTATGGTAGACTGTGATCATACTCGAGAAGAGTAGGCTCATCCCTTCGTCTTTCGCCTTTTACCTCGTTTGTTGTCCCATCCAGTTTCCCGCTGGGGGTTAAGATCCCAACCTTCAACTGTATTGCTGGGAAGAACAGGGTCCACCACGTGAAGGTGAGGTAGGCTTGAGCCAGAGAGGCTAATAGACATTACGAGTCTCATATTGCGCATCATTGCTCCATTAGGACCCCATTCGTTCCTGAATTGAAATATTTATGAATCTCACTTTGCTGTAGAGGCTTACAGAGATTATTATTGAATGATACATGAATGTAGGTGAGGGAGATTTCGTTGAAAGTTCCACACAAGAACTTGTTAAATTCTTATTACGTCGCTGTAAACACAGTTTCATACTCCCGATATACTAGCGTTTTAGGTCAGCTATAGTAGCATACATATGGTAGCAGGCGGCCATGGTTTGACTCCACCGACTTTAGGCGTTAGTCATGCTTTGCAGAAAGTGAGGATACTATTAAACGTATATAAAACTTCGATTAACCGTCAACGGCAGGACCAGGACTGAGGCGGATAACGGAATTCACTGATAACATAAATCTGTTTATAAATTTGTAAACTAACGTAACTTCACTGAGCTTGGAGGGAAAAATCATTTAATAAGTACATATTGTATTTAATTTTACAAAACGATTAATATAAACTTCAGTATCATAGTACTAATGTACAGAAATGTATTGAATTCTCTAAAACTACGTTACTTAAAAATAATCTGCCATCTCTGTGACTTTGAGGTTGCAGCTTTCTGCCTGGCGATGTTCCGTATCTTACCCAGAAGTGGGATCTGTGTTGCTTTTGCCTTCCTTTGTACTTCAAACCAGTTGATGCACCTTGATAACATTGTTTTTATCATACAATGCACTATCTTTCAGTTTGATACTGCTGGGTGTAAAATGAATCCGTAGACAATTTTAAAGATATCTGTGTGTTTGTTGATACTCTAGCTTTTATTACAACGGATAACAGAAACTGACGGTAAAACGAGTGACAATTAATCGAAGTTTTGGTGTTTTTAGAAAACCAACAAAACAGCCAACTTAAAGTCTTGAAGACTTAAATGCAATCAAACCTTCTAATAAGAACACGGAGGGGAAAACAGACACATAGACATACATGTCAGCCTGTCAGCCTGTGGCTTAGGGCCATAGAGTTATCTCCGTCTCGAAGTGGTTAAGCTGTTAACCTCGTGCTCTGAAGGTTGCAGGTTCGTTTCAAGGCTGCGTCATTCAATCCATGATTGCAATGTAGGGATCGTCTTCAGGGCTACGGAGTTTGTGCTTTGTGCGACGCTCTCTCATGCGGTTAGCCGTTTTGTGGAGAGATACCGACCCATTTGGGATAAAACCGGGTGCAATGGAGTCGATCAACTGGAATTGTAGCTGCTAGGCGCCCGCCTGCGAATCGGAAGGTCGTGAGTTCGGGACTTGACGGAGCAGCACTTTGTTTTCAAAAAATAACCTTGGCTCCCATGTCAACCCAACCTTGCGTGGGCACCAGGTACAGTCCTGGGAAGTAAAGACGGCCGGCATGATGCAGACCATATCATCCAGCGAGTGCCGATGGATCTATAAAATCTAGACCTAGCCTTATATTCCCATTGCGCATCAAGGCATAGAAAAGGGTCCTTTGTATATATATTATATATACATACATACACACACACACACACATATATATATATATATATATATATATATATATATATATATATATATATGTATATATATATATATATATATATATATATATATATATATATATATATATATATATATATATATATATATATATATATATACATGTGTGTATTTGTGTGTGCGTGCGCGTGAGTGTGTGCTTTTGTAGAATGTAATGTTTGTTCAGTTTTGTTGTATGTGTTGCTGGTGTGAACAGAGACCGGTTAGTAAATACTGATTTAAGAATCGATATCATAGCATAATGGTTGTATCCACAGGTCAGTGGTCTTCAACCTGCCCCCCCCCCCCATCCCCACCTTAGGGGGACGAAATAAGGTTAAAAGGGGGCTTCCAACAATTTTGAAATTAAATGTATTTGTATTTATAACACACTGTTTCACACACACACAACACACACACACACACACATATATATATATATATATATATATATATATATATATATATATATATATATATATATATATATATAACTGGTACTATTAGCCATCGGACGTTGGGATTCATACTGAGGGGAGGATCTGAGCACCTATGGACATGTCCGGAGTGAAATGAGGATAACCTAACTAACTAACTAAATATATATATATATATATATATATATATATATATATATATATATATATATATATATATACAAGGTCCGACAATTAAGTAATGAGACTAATTCCATAAAAATAAAAATCAACAGTTTAAGAGTTTAAGATATCACCTGTATTTTAGTCAAAGGAAGCTCCTTGTGCATTGATACAACAAGTGGCACGATCTAACAAACACTAGAACGACCCCTGTAGTTCTTCTGTTGTAATGGCCCTTAAAGTCGATGTTACAAATCTTTGGATGTCATCAATATCGTCAAAAAAGCGTCCTTTCAATGGTGACTTTAATTTTGGGAAAAGAAAATAATCACAGGGAGACAAATCTGGCAATGTGGTACAAACCCGCAAGCAACTTTTATTCTGCTAAAATCTTGCACTTAAATATTATGAATGGTCTCTCTATTACCACCAGATTCATCTACTATTATCCCCACAGTAAAACAATAATCTTGTATCTTTTCTCTGACTTTTGTAATGAGTTCACCATTACGAATAGAAATATGGCGTCTAGGTCTAAGTGCATTTGTAATCATTTCTTCACCAATTTTGAATCGTGAATACCACCTGAAAATTTATGCACGAGATAAACAATTATCCCCATAAACATGTTGCATCAGTTCAACTGTTTCAATGGCACTTTTTCCGAGTTTTAAAAAGGATTTAATGATAGCTTTTTTCACCGTGCTGATTATTTAACAATGCTCCTTTGACTAGGTCAACAAAATGGCGGCTTGTTTGTTGTCTGCTTATTGTGCGGTGATAAAAAGTTGCCAGATCATAGATGAATGTTGCCTTTTAGATTCCATGCTTTGTTTCATGTATGGTATTTCTGTCTTGGCCATAATGAAATCAGTCTCATTACTTTACTATAGGACCTTGTACATAGTTTAATTATAACTAAACAATATACACATATTTTGAAAACCTGTTTATAAAACAAAAAGATAAGGACATTTTCAGTTTTCGTAACCTGTGTGTATATCTACAGTTAAAACTTTTATTAATATGATAACACAGACATCTAATTATTAATTTAGAACACATTCTGACCAAAACGTATCTCCATACTTTCTGTTTCCTTTCTTGCGAAATTTATTGTCCTCTTTTTAAACACATTTGATATGTTAGGAGTGAGATCGAGGGAGGGGTGCTCTAGGGTCTTGCAGTATACTCAAAAAGGGGTGGGGGGGGGGAGGGGTCGCGACCTGAAAAAGATTGAAGACCACTCCCATAGATGTTCCGTCTCCCGCTGTATGCACGTGTCCCTAAGTCTACATCCGGACTGTTCTAGTAGCTGACTGGTTGAACCCACGTCGCAACCCGCCGCTCAAATGCCAATATCTTGCCAGATCTACACATAATTCCAAATGTATGCATTCATACACATGTCATTTCATCGTTCATGAACAGAGGCAAGATTATGTTTCATGTAGGACTGGATACCTCGTATGAAACAAATAACTAGTCGTCTTCGGGGGGGGGGGGGGGGGGTTCCTAGGGGGGGGGAGGGGGGGGGGGGGGGGGGGGGGGGGGGGGGGGGGTTCCCTAGGGGGAGGCGTCAATAGACTTTGAAAGTAAGTGCATTTGTATTTGTAGTAATCCGTTATACTTACTTTTTGTTTTAGTTTGATAATGAGTAAAATATTTTAAAAACTATTCATTAAACAATGGACATTTTTTGTTTGTTTTATGAGCAGTTTATACATCTGCCGTTGAAAGTCCAATTAATATGATAACAAGTCCATTTAATTATATATTACATAAACATTCTGGCCAAAACATTTCTTCATACTTTCTGTTTCTCTTGTTGAGGAAACTGTTATCATCCTCTTTTTAATCAAATTTTTGGCGAGTGGAAGTGGCGAGGGGTGGTTTGCCACATATTCAAGAGCAGCGCGACCTGAAAATGGCGGAAAACCACAGTTGTTTCCTTCTGTATTCATAGACATTAAAAAAAAATATAATGTTGTTTTGGATTGTTTTTCTATTAACGCTCTACAACATGCTCTGATGTGACGGTATTGTAGTATTCTTTGCAGGCTAGTTTCATGGATTGTTTAAAGAATGTCTTTAACGTTTCGTTTGAAAGCTCTGAAACAGATAGGGCCGCATAAGGTTTTTTTATAGCTTTGCCTTCCCATTTCTATGGCTAGATAGGTCCATAGAATCCACTGCTGGACTAGTTCTGTTCTTGTAAACAACTTTCGGAGCTTTACTTTCTTTTCTTTTCCTTTTTTTTAAAAATTATTTCTTATTTCTGTTTGTGATAGCTTGGAAAACTGGCTTTACTATGTAAATATGACTATTTGTTTTTTAATTTAGTAAATCAATCCGGAATAAGTGAGAGTCTGCCCAGTTGGAAGGAGGCTTTTTTGTTTATCACTGAAGCTGGTGCAAGCTTTCCAT